TGCTCATTATTATTTTTACTCCTAAAATATCACTACTATTTTGATCAATAAAAAAATATATCACAACTATGATAATATGTATAATTAACTATGTTTTAGTTGAATTTATGAACTGTTACAATTGACCCCGTAAGTGGGGACAATTGTAACAAGTGCACGATGGTCAAAAATTGTAAATAACTAATATAATAACATTTAAAATAAGGTACTTATTTTTTTTCTAGTAGAGGATAGTCTACTTTACTCGTCTGTCAATTAATACTAATAATATATTGGATTTTTTGTTAGTTATAAATAGTTATGTAAAAAATGTTACAATTGACCCCACTCTCCCCTATTGTTAGACGTATCGATACATCATACCTTCAAATAATTGTTTATTTTTATGTTAATTTTTAAAAAAATTATGTTTTCAAGAAAAGACGTTTTAAAAACATGAAAGTGTCACCGAATTCTGAGAAAAGAATCATTGTTTTAATTTTTAAAAAAAACAGTAAGAAATGTCTATAAAAATATTTAATTTATTTACTGGGCATTAGAAAAAAGATAAAATTAATTCTACACTGAAGAAAACGCAATTATGAAATTGTTAAATAAAGCACCGCTTAAAAAATATCTTTTTTTTAGAATAAAATATTAAAGATGGTTTGACGTGTAACCAAATTGTAAAAAATTATCAGAAGAATTGGTTTAATTTTTTAAAGAGAGCTCTAGATTTATTGATTAAAAGATAAGTTGTCATAAAATACATTTGCAAGCTCTGAAAGAAAGGACTAATCTTAATTGAATATTTTCTGTCAAATCGACTGAAAATTTAATATATCGTTCTTCAAATCATTCTAATCACACATTTTCCTTACCACATCAACCAAAAATTTATAGTTTCCGACGATATATATATAAATCTAGTAATAAATATTATAATTTGAATAATATTTATATTTTGTTGGAGAAGTAGATTCGCTTCATCAAAAATACATTCTATAAACTTCTTAGATGGGTACTTAAAATTATCTCCGTACCTTGCATATTTTTAAAACCATATAACACTTGCCATATGTGCGCAAGTATACAAAGTCTAATGCTGCTCACTTCTATCACCTTTCACCACAGTGACCGTGTTATGTTTGAGGCTCCGTATAACGGAAACTGTCCATATTTGGACTTTGTGTCAAAGTACAGTGCTCAAAAAAATTAGACCATCCGGAATAGCATTTGCTCAGAATGTTATGGATCAAAACTTATAAAATTTTATCCAAATTACCATAGAAATAATATCGGAAAAAATTTGAGGGATGTCCTGAAAGAAAAATACTACAAGTAAACAAGCTAATTTAATGTAACAAAGTAGTAAATTACTCTGGTTATTATAAATTAAGGAAAAAATCCTAAAAATGGTCATAACTCAAAAAGTTGCGCATAGAATTTAATAAAACTGAATGAGTGCACATAATAATGTATAAAATAACACTAAAAGTATCAACCACATAATTATGGTGTTACAGATATCATCCTAGGTTTGAAATAAATAATGTCTCAGTTTGGAATAAAAAATTTACCTTTAGTATGATCATCCCTTACAGTAATGTGTGATGCTTTTAATTATGCGGTTTACTAGTTTCGTTGGAAGTACGAGCCATTGTTCTAGAAAAGCAGTTGAAAGCTTGGCATAGAGTCTGAGGAGAATTGAGAGCAGCTACACATCCTCCTAGGGTATTCCAAACATACTCGGTAGGGTGCAAAGTCTGGTGATTGAGCTGGGTACTCCATGCTCTCAATTGCTGAAGAATGAGTAAGTGAAATCAGCACGAAATCATCCCCAACTTCATCAACTTAAAGGTACACATAAGCATCAAGGCTGTCATCTGTATGCGCGTGAGCATTCATGATTCCATATGCAAAGACATGCAGATCTGTGCGTCCATTCGGAGAGATACCACTCCATACACAAACACTGCATCTGTGGTAAGAGTATCTTTCACGGCACGCAAATGGCTGCAAGTCTTTCTTCGTGCAAATAACGATAAATATTTGTAATTGGAGCTTGTTGCAGAGCTCGGTCGTTCTTGACTGAACCTTCTGGATTTTGAACCTGTGATTAAAAACTGTTGCCAAATTCTAAGAACCACAGAAGGACTCGCATTTTGCCATATAGCCACTTCTATCCGGCTTCCAGTTTTCCAAGAGATCTCAATCGCTGTTCTTTGGTCAAATGATGCCTGGAGGTTATTGCTACAAATTGGCTGTCTCAAATTTTTAATTTCAGAAACTCAGCGAAATTTGTAGGCTTGCTAAAACATATAATTTTATGCTCATTGCTGATCGCGTCATTATATTGCAGCACCACTTATTGCAGTTTCATATAGCAACTCTTATTTAGCAACACAATAAAATTTCATTGGGATTGGTTTATTCTAGGGAGAGCTGTAGCTTTCTTTAATTTACGAATGACCAGTGGATTTAGAAACAAAATACAACAGTGAATAATACAGCTTAAACCAAGAAAAAAATTTAAAAGACTAATAAAATCAACAAAGGAATTCTTAATGATATATAATTATTTTTTTTCAACGAAATTTGTTCAGAAAGGGATAATGCACGCAGATCGCAAAACTGCAGAAGTCCGACTGAAAATCATGCGCAAGAAAAGATGTCAAGTTGTGATAAAAGATACAAATAATAAAAAGGATACATTGCATTATATATAGTGAAGCTGATTTGCGCATGTAACCGCGATTACTGATTCAGGATTGTTCAACATAACGAAGCGAACATACAGTCTTCTTGCCTTCAAACCTAGACGAAACGAAAAATATTTGGTATCGTTGGTCAAGTTAAATCCTTATATCAATACATCGCTAGCGTCTCTCTACATCAGCAGTCTCAAAGTTCTGATACATAGGGTGAAACGAAAACCACTATTTCGGTGCGCCAATGCGTAAATTCGATATTTAACGATGTACAGATACATCACCTAGTCCTGCTCAAGACATTGTTTGGCTTACGTTCCGAAAGTTTACTGGTTGAGAAGTTTTCTCACAACTATATCCTCCCAAGCTTTAAATCAGCGGTTGTGAATTTCTTACGGCTACGGAATCCTAAATGTTCGACCATCGTGGCGACAAAAACATTAAACTAACTTAC